TAAAACTTGTAGTTTAAATTTGTTTCTGTATGAAAAAGTACTAAATATATCGAATTCTTCCATGAAAAAAATTGTAAATACTCTTTGTACATTTACAAAATACACTGACCCGATAAAAGTATTACACATAGAGTTCCCTATTCTCCCCACACTTTTTTGGCAACTATCTTTGCTCGATTTCTGTGGATAAATAGAGCTACGATAAATAAATTACAGTTGATGTAACAAAATTCTGATAATTGTGTTACATTTGCCATCATATTTTCTCTTTCTTATTATCTATTAATTCATCGTAGAATCGCACTTTGTGTTATGTTCATTCAACTTTCTTATTAATTTCTCTTTGGAGCCAATAAGCGTCTAGCATCATTGTCTCTGAGACTCAGCTAAGCTCCTTTATTATAAAATAATTTATTAAACGTTTAACGATTTTAATTCAATAAATACTATTTGATATACAATTTCGCTACTAAATTTACAAAGAGCAGAATATAGATATATTTAGTGTCCCTGTAAAAAAAAGTTCAGGTTGATTATCTTACTTGAATGTTGTTTAAATACAAAAGGGCCGGTGATCACGAGTTTTGATATAAAAATGCATCAACAGGTAATTGAGGCAATGCTTAGAAATCAGTTTCATGGAAAACTGATATTAGAAAGTCTTTAGAGATGGCCCCTTTATATTTAAATCTGACTAATTTATAATCTAATGATGAAGATGATATGTTGCAATTTATTAGTATATTGCTCCAAAGCTTTCTCTATTTATACAAAATCGATAATTAAGTGAATATCGAACAGATGAAATATGCTTTGACAAAAGCGTGTATAATCATGCATAATGTGTGTATGATTTGTTTAATCAATCAATGCATGTGTAAGATAATCTTCCTGATCGTTGAAGTTAGGACAGTCTACATAATATTTGGTCAAATCACTATCACTCCTTATATAGATTGTAACAAGTGACTTTGACATTATTAATTATTTATATAAATCATTGCTATCACTGTATATTTTTTTTAACCCACTTCCATTTAATATTAAACAACGTATGACTACTTTTTTTTAAGTTGAGCACATAATAAACGTACAATTTCTAAATAGATATCGGAAAATTTATAATTAAATTACGTAATTTGCAAAAAGTGTTATTCCCATAATTACTTTCATTAGAAAGTATAATATTCGGATGTAATGTCACGAGCTTTTCGATGAAGCAATTTGAAATGGTCTTAATGTAAAAAGTTATTGAAGTGGGTTAAAAATAAATATAATCTCCTTTCACACTAATTTTCAATAGCATTAGGCACTGTCAACCCTTCATTGAAGATTCTTCAATAAGTTCAATTCTATAAGGTAACGTTGAATATAAAAATTAGCTTTCGCTTGTTATGATAATTTTCGTACGTTAAAAGCCAACATGTCATCGTGTGCATCGAATTCCGTAAAAGAAGATTCATTACGACAAAAACAGTTCTATTTTCCAGGGTATTTTAATTTAGCGAATTACATGATAAAATATAGCGTATGTTCTTCCTACTTACAAAATGTAAATTTTTACAATTCTTCTTTAAAACAAAAGATATGTATTCGACTCGCGTAAGGACTCGCACCGAAGCGCCTTCTCATATGATTATAGAAATTAAGACTTTAATTTGGCTTTATACTAGTAACAACATATATAATAAAATGTTTAGAGCGTATCATGTGTTGATAAACTTATCTCTTGATCTGTATTCTAGATCACAATAACGTGTATATGCGAAGAATTTTACAAAAGGAGAAGAAAGAACGAGGCATGGTCACAAAGAAAATACATTGTCGATGTGATTCTGTCTGTTTTTTAAACATCAAGATACTCGATTGTGCAGCTGGTAGAATTGTGCTATTCACTTAATATTGTACTTTCTCAGGGCACTATATTTATCTAAATTTTCTTAAAATGTAGACGAACTTGGAAGTTAGACTATAACTGCTAATTATTACACAACAAATACATTTTAAATCAAAGAGCGTCGCGGATGCCTGCATCCGAGATTCAGAGAGTTTCTAAGAGTCATATCCCTAACGAAAAACAGTCTGATATTATTTTTTACAAACGGCATACTGTGTTTTCGTTACTAGAATTAATTACAATTATTTAAAAACTGTAGCGTTTCACGGCCTACAGTAACAATATAATAATAATAATAATAATAATAATAATGATAATAATAATAATAATAATAGTAATGATGATGATGATGATGATAATAATAATAGTTGTAATAATGATAATGAATTAAACTTCTAATTAAAATGTTAGACCATTAAATGAGAAAGCTCAAAATATCAAATTTCGAATATTTTTGGAACCAATCCGAGAAATTCTTTCGCACAATAGAGATTATTTAGAATCGAATACATTTACGTATTTACTGAATGAACGATAACAAAACTTTATTGTCGCAAAATATATAATCGATTGAAAAAACATATTTCTACCAACTGTACAGTCACAATGACGAGAAACAAAGCGAAAATCAGAGAAAAAGGAGTATGAAAGTCATATCTCCTTGGTTGACATCCAGAATGCTATTTGCTTTCGTTAGATTTATCAATTATTATCACTTCGCGCGCCTTGGCAACATACACCCTTAAACGCTAAACACGCTTTTATCGCTTTACAGATGTACGAATTGCTTGATGGGCCAGCTTGTGTCTTATTCGGGACACATTCCCGTATCGTCCGTTCGACTGGTTTAGTCTTTTCAGCTTTTTTCTGGTTACTCGAATAATGCCCAAATTATGCAATCGACCCTTAGCTTATTTTTGTGGCACCATTGTGATTCACCTTGTGGTTTACGGTCCAGCTATCCTCTTGTACGGTTTTTAAATATTCTTCTAGCAACGATGCCAAATTACGTCTTTTAAATCTTAACGATTCTTTCACAATATCTCGCAAAAACGCAAGTCGTATATCTAGAGTCCCTTGAATTTGGTGTAAGTGTGAAAATAGTGTCGCGTAATCTGAAACGAAATCACCAAATATTACTAATGATCGATTGTTTCATTTTAATGCTTCCAATATTGTTACCAATAAATGCTTTACACGCGTGGAGGTAACAATAATAATATTCGTAAAATATATCAACTTACTTGTACCTCTTCTCCGTACTTCTTTATATACAAGCTCTCGAACAGACAAGTTATGTTTTCTAATGTCTTCCAATTCTTTCTTCGTCAAAACTTTGTCCTTCTCCACCTTTGGTTCGCGCTTCTCCTCAACGTGATTAGTTAACCTATCGTCAACCGGATTCTCAAGTTTCTCACTGTTATCAACACAATCGTTCAGAGGTAGTTTATTACACTCAATTTTAACATTGTCTGTTTTCTCCGGTTTTATGTCATTCTTTGGGGCATCAAGGTTATTAACTACCGGCATCAGAATCGGTGGAGTGTCCATGTGGTTGTTGGTATGTTCTACTGGGATCGGTTCAAATACTGGTATCGTCGGCATTTCTGCAAGACCGTTTACCAATTTCTCCGATGAATTAACTGTTGATACATTCGATATATTTGGTGTACTGGAGTTCACTGTGGTCAATGGAGTTTGATTCTGATCGGCGGCGGCTGGAGTCACTTGATTCTTCGTATCGTCTACCCAAGGAATCGGCGAACTCGGAGGACTATTAGTCGGTGTATAAGTTGGTGTATACGACGGTCTTCGTACAATAACATCCTTGGGAATTGGACCCGGCTTTCGCTTGTTTGGCGGCGGTTTCGAAGCTAACGAGCCTCCTCCATCCGAAGCTGGCAGCGACCGTTTCAGACCACCCTTCGAAGTTGAAGACGTCGCTCCAACCATATCGATATCCGCTTCGTCTACCATCATTCTTTTATCTATCTTGAAAGGATTACCTAAAATTCAACAACACCGAATAAAGCATTGATTTGACTTTTTGATTTTGATTTATCCAACTTTGGGTCCGTCGAATAATTACCGAACATATGCTGCCTCACTGGAACACTCTCGATCTCTCTTAAGGGCGGAGTCATACGTTTCAAGTATTCCTGATAATTCCCCATTTGTGCTAGAGGCATCGAATGAACATAATCGTCGTCGAGCAATTTTGTGTGTAACAAGCCAGGTTGTAAAAAGTTGGCACGCATTCTGACGACTTGATCCAAAAGGGATTTCCGCGGTACATCGAATGCGTTTCGATAACTGTGTGCGCCATGCTGTTGATTTCGAACTAATCCAACTACAAACCCACCAAACTCATTCAATTGATCCCTCAGTCCTGTAAACTTATCCTGCAGCAACGGGTGTGATACCTATCATGACAACAAATATAGTATTAGTATTTCCATCATTGACAATGGTATGAAACTGTGATAATTTTTTAAACAGTTACCAAATCTTTCTTGAGTGGAGTTCTTGGAATAACTCTTACTCCGTCCGTTACCGTTGTCGTACTACCATTTACTAGATTCTTCGTCATATTTGCAGCAGCGAGTTGTTTGGAGAGAACTTCGTTGCAAAGTCTATCGAATTCTATTTTCGCTTGATTCTTCAATCGTTTTAAGTAATTCAAAACGCTGTAGGACAAAGAATTGTCCATATTATCAGGAATTAATGTTTGTGCCAATGGCGCTGGTGCACCCATCCTAGTTAAAGCCCTCCTGAGAGACTAAAGAGTAAAACACACACGATATTAATAAAACGTACCAAAACAAGATCAATATCATTTAAAAATCAATGAATTACGTACTGCTGCATAGTATGTCGGCATAGTCCTCATATAATTCTGAAATTGAGTTCTCCATTCGTTTGTTGGTTTCAATCTATGAACCTTGAACAGCTCCTCTAACAAAGGCAAGAGCACCGGATAATTATAGGGCATTACAAACAGATTCACGCATGTTAAGTTCGTGCTTGCTTTTAAGTATCCAAATGGATGACCCACGTCGCTAGATTTATAGGAATTGGCTACAAAAACTTGCCAACAAATTGTTGGCTGCTTTCTAGCTAAAATGTATTGTGTTAACGGACTCGGTTCTAACTCGTATTTATCGAATGGAAGATTTTCTATCACCATGGGCTCTTGGCTGGTGCAAGTAAACTTTACGTTTGGATGTGCCGATCTAGGTGGCAGAGAACTAGCACTCAGATCAGGCCAAAAGCTTTCAGGAATCGGCCAAAATCCCACTGCAAAACCTTTCTGTGCTGATCGTGGAACATAAATGAGTCTTCTACAAGAATGCCACGTTGGATTTCCAGGTACCATCGGATTAGGCGGGTACTGCGCTCGACTTCCGTTTGCCGTTCCATTCTCTTCTTCGTTTTCATCGTCGTCCGCATGTTGTGCTTCATTTGTCAAAGGTGGAGGATCTGGTCCGATCTTCTCAAAATTGATCACTACTCCAGATTGAACCTTTTGTACCAAAGAGTCTATGCATTGCATCATCATTCTAAACGATGTTATGCAATATGAACGACCTACAAACGATGAAGAATATCTACATCTTAATTACTGTCCATGGTAAGATGTACAAAATCATGTTGGAAATGTACTATTCATACCTCCGGTAACTTCGCACATAACATCTATAGGAGACGAGTCGTTCGCAACTATTCCAATATCTCTTTCGACAGCTGGTGTTCCAGAAAGGCGTAATACCAAAGAAAATAATCTTTGGTCCCACCTGAATGGCTCCTTTGTCAGTTCTGATCCAGGTATGGGAGAATGCATGGGCAACGTAAACTGTTAACAATTTTAAAAATTACCATATGGTGTTACTAATTAAGCTTCACAAACTTATATTTTAATGCCACTTCTTAAATGCTTACATCCTGATTCACTCCACTGTTAGTCGTATACTTTCCTCCGTCTGTAATGACAACGATAACCGATGGTTCCAGATAAAAGGGACATCTTCCTTGACCATATGTGTCTATACCAGTCTGCATACGGTTTATATTTAAGACGTCTAAAGCATGTTTTAAAGCAGCACCCAGTGTTGTCAATCCGACGCATTGTAAATTCTTAAGCTCATTCATAAACGTCGCTAAATTTTCTTTCCAGCCAGCCTAGAATAAAGAAAATATATTTTCAATTGTTTAAACATAATTTCTGGAAATTACTTTATTGTTACAATTGTAAATTTGTTATTGATAAAATGAAAAATGACGATAAGGCTAATGGATCAAGAAAGAGTTAGTTTACTTTTGCTACTGAAGTTGTGAAATAATGGAGAAATAAGAAAGAGCTTTACGCAACATTAAACATTAAAACAACAAAGAATAGCCATGAAAAATTTACAGGCATGATCATCTATTGCATCAACAATTTTTTTAGCTTAGTTTTTTGGCTTCCCATGGTAATTCTTCATTGTGTCAGAGCTTGGTGTCGCGTAGACACTCTTTCTACTTCCCTACCATTATTTGACAGGCGACAGTACCTGAGTCGTTTTAACAATATCTAAATGTGGCTCCTTCTTGAGCCATGAGCCTGATCACTGTACTCAGTCCTGAAAATTAAAAAACGAATTAGAGATCTGGCATGAAGTATTTTGAACAGAAATAATATAAAAACTTTTGAAGGGAGGATAAAGACACTTGCTAACAAGTGACTAAAAAACTATCTGATTGGAAAAGATTGTGAGGGAAAACTATTATGTATAGAATATTGTTAACTCAGAACCTGATAAAATCTCGAATACAGATTCTAACAATATTACATTCAATAGCAAATGCTTAAGACAACTCACCTCGGATAGAGGTGATTAGTACCGTACTAGTAGTACCGATTAGTACCGTAGTTTTCAACAAATTCTTTAATCTTTTAATTCTAATATGCAGAAATTTTTTTTATTAGTATTTTATGAATAACATCTATGTAAGGACATATATTCCAGATGTAACTGTACTCGTATAATCATAACAATATAAGTAAATGCTGTTACAATCAATTGTAGTGGGCCAATGTTGAATATAAAATAACCTAAGTACGATTAACTATTTAAAAGGTATAGCTCACCCAAGTCTGTGGCTAACATGATATAGAGTATGTGTATGCCCGTATGTGTGTGCGCGCGCTCGTTTGCGTGCATCTGTGAAGGAGACACAGAAAGAAGAAGAGGAAAAGAAATGGAAAATATCACGGAAAAGAGAAGAAAGAAAAGGACGATAAGTATGAAAAGCAATGATGTAGTGAAACGTTAAGGAAAACATACCTTGATGTTCTGAGGTGGATCTTCGAAGGTCAGTAGCATGTAACGATCTCCACGACTTTCCGGTGATCTCTGCCTCACCTGAAAGAGAACGATCGCAGATTGAGAAAAAGATTGGCGACAACAGAACCGAGGCAAGTTAGAGCAGTTATTAACGTTACTCTCTCCACGACGAGGATGGCACGAGTCGACGAGGACAACGACAACAACGACATCGACAACGACTATGACCACGATCACAACCACGATCACATCACGACAACGACGACTCGGCCTAACCCATGACCGGGAGAGAGAGCCGGGAAAGCTGTGTGACTAGCGTACCTTTACGAAAGTCTCTACGGCGCTCTTGGCTACGTCCAAAAGCGTGGGTCGCCCGCCCAAATATGCCCTCTGATTCATGGAGGCCGACGTGTCGATCAAAAAGACTATTATGGTCATCTTCGCGAGACAAACCCGCTCGTTCTCTCGAGGTCGTAACTGCGGCCCGAGACCTCCCGTAGTCAGAACTAGCTAGCTAACAGCCCTACGACGGCGTGGCGCATAGCTGCTTCGACCATTGAACGCTCTCCCGAATACGCTCTCCGAAAAACTTCTTTTATCGTAACGGCGCCCGCTTCGCTCTTACTCTCTTTTGATCTCTTTCTCTTTCTTTTCGTTTCTATCTCTCTCTTTCCCTCTTTCTATAGATACATATACACACACGCGCACACACATACATATATGCAAGTATATAGCTATGTATGTATATATAAATTGTATATATATACATGTGCGTGTGTATATATATACATATATATATATATATATATATTTATGTAATTAGTATATATGTATATATATATACATGCATATATATATATATTATAAGAACGTCTCTTTTTCTCTTTCTCTCTACACCGAACCGAATCTACTGTTACTACTGTCGCGCAGCTCTGGTGCTCGAATGTGGCTGGTGTAGAGCAGCGCAGGATAGCAGCTGAAACGCAGCCACGAGATCGCGGAATCGTCGTGAGTCGGACAGGTCCGTATGCCAGCCTGCCCGCTTCTTCTCTTTTTTAGACCGCTCCCCTCTCTTCTCACCGTCTTCCAGGCCCTACCTTTACGTTTCTCTCTCCTCTCTATCTCTCTCTTTCTCACGTGCCACGAATATATTCTCTCTTTTCCTCCTCTAGAATTTCTATCCTCCTTGATCTTTCATCTCTTTCCTTACCGTCTCTTTTCCCTTTCTCTCTCTCTCTTTCACTAGTCCCCTCTTTCTTTGTTATAGCGCGGCGGGAGCGAAACTCGACCTTCTCTCTCCGGTGTCTAGCTTGTCTCTGTTGACGATACTCTCGTTCGTTCTGCTCGTGGTTGCACTGCGTCGCAAAACACGTGACCGACAGACACCTCTTCCCATTGGCGATCCCCCCACCGCAGAAACTTTTGTCATTGCTCGTCCGAAAAGCATTGCACATGATCGCACATTTCTACGTTGTGTGAGTGCGTGTCACCGCTGTTTACTCCGAACTGAATGGCTGGTCGGTTTTGCAGATTGTACGTTCGTGTGGTCGGGTCTCTCTGACCCTTAAGAAATTACATTACGATCCGATGTTTTTTTTTTTAATACGTTATTTTATTCCCTACCTGGTCAAACGCAACATTCGTATTTCGAAGAATATGTTAATGGCAACGATTAACGATCCAAAGAAGTTATCGTATCTACGAAATGGATGCACAAATGCCTCATTAAATAAGTGGTCCGAATCTTGAATTGCACTTCACGTTTAACTTGAACAATTACGCATTTTTCATCATTGGTAACCGAATTATTGTAAATCAATTATAATTTTGTTGACTATTAAGTTCGAAGAAACTATAAAAGCATTGCAATAAATTGTCATATCATTTATCTACTTGCCAGTAATAAAAACGTACATATGTATGTAAGTGTATAGAACGATAATTAGGTTAAATTGTTATTGTTACTTTGATGTTATTACGTGTTAATATTACCATGAAAAGAGGCAGATACGTTGTTTTAATAACTTATTGCTGATTGTAATTTCAAATAAAATTTACATAACCTTCATCGTACAAAGTGATGATATCTTTTGTCATGTTTATCGAAGCGATGCATAGAGAAAAAAAATGAGAAAATGTTCCTTTAATTTGCGATCTATTTAAGTTAAATTGTAATCTTTGTTAACAAGATCTTGTGGTATCTTGAGCATACCTTTGTATGTTATCTTGTTTAACATTACTATCTTATATACAGATTTAATGTTTGCACAACATATGTAACTGAAAATATTACCACAATTAATTCTGTTCCTGTTTCATCGAAGTGTTATGGAACAAAACAAGCTTGGACGATTAATTTACACTTTATATAGAATTTCTGACATTAATCTTTTTATAAAAATTATATCAATAGGCAGATTCGTGGAAATGACCAGTGAGAAAATTTTGTGACAATTTAAACGCGTAGTGACCGATTTTAAATCCTGCATCGACCGTGTTCGAATGGACAGTTTACAAGCATACTTATTCACTACATTGACAATACATATTACAAAGTAATCTATCCCACTTTAGAATCCCAACAACTTTCGTGTCACATTTTGATGAGCAATGACATAATTTGTTACTCGTTCATAAGGTTCTGCTCCAATGATTGTTAATGTTATGCCTTAACAATTGTTATTTACCATGTTTTCAATTAATATTTGATCTTTTTTTCATCAGTATGTAATAATAAAAGTAATAAAAAAATAGAAGTACGTTGCGCCATCCATATAGAGATGTTGGGAGTAACCGTTAATTAATTTTGCAATATGCTCACAAGATAGCACCACCGTTCTGTTTTTTTTCGACAGAATCTCATTGGGATCGAACATGGCCATGGAATTGAGTAGATTCCAGTAGATTCTTTGATAATTAATTTCTACAAATTTCTATAAACAATATTATAGATAAGAAATAGATGAAAAAATAGAAATGCTTTATATGTTGTTCGATATAATTTTTTTATTGGTTAGTGTACATATTGAATAGACTAAGTAATCCTAGATCATACATTCTAGGATCTTTTTTATTACTCATATTGCGTAATATGATTCACGATTTACAAATTGTAAGTTGCGCCATTTAGGTTTAAAAAAAAGTTGTACCAAAACTGTAGAACGAATCGTTAATGCTTATCACACAGATTAATATAATCTGTTTTCATGCTCAAATAAAATACAGACAATGGGAGATGATATGTTAATTCCTAATTTATCATAAAACATGGATGAATCGAGCGCGCCAAAGCGAAAAAGGTCATCCGACCTGGCAAACAAATTTATGAAGGATAGAAGAAATGTATAATCAGTTTCTCATTATATGTAAATATTATTACAGTTTCGCTTTTGTTTAATGTTTGAAATTTTTTTTTAGACGGCTGAATCCATTAGCACATTTCATTTCAGCAAAAAGCGTGTTCGAAGGTTGAGCAAATTCAATGATATTAAAGATGATTGTAAAGGGATTTTGTACTGGATGTTTCGTGACATTAGAGTACAAGATACTTTCCAGTGTGAATAATATTGTACACAGGTATACTTTTAATTGTTATAAATGGTTTCTTATCTTTTAAGATAATTGGGCTGTACTCTTTGCCCAAAGGACTGCTTTAAAAAATAATCTACCTCTTCACATATGTTTCTGTTTAATGACAAACTTTTTGGAAGCTTCAATGCGATATTACAAATTTTTATTACAAGGATTAGAACAAGTTGAAGGAGAATGTGAAACATTAAATATAAATTTCCATCTTCTGCATGGAGAGCCAAGTGATAGTATCGTTAAATTTGTAGAAACATATAAGATGGGTGCTGTAATCGCAGATTTCTGTCCATTGAAATTACCTATGTCATGGATTGATAATGTACAAAATAAATTACCAGAAGATATACCATTTTGTCAAGTAAGAAAAATTAGTTCTTATATCAATCTTTTCACTAGTTAAATATTAAAACAAAGTTGTTCGTTAATTCATTTGTTTTTTAAGGTAGATGCACACAATATTGTGCCCTGTTGGGAAGCTTCCCAAAAGCAGGAGTTTGCAGCTAAAACAATTAGGAATAAAATTAATACGAAATTGAATGAATTTTTAACGGAATTTCCACCTGTTGTAAAACATTTATATTTAACGGATGAAAAATTTGAAAAAAATAATTGGAAAATTGCTTTGGATGGTCTAGAAATAGAGAGAACGGTAGATGAAATTGCATGGGCAAAACCAGGATATGAAAATGGTATTAAAGAACTGGAAAGTTTTTTAGAAAATCGTTTAGAAAAGTATGCAGCTGAACGTAACGATCCTTTGTCGAACGCTATTAGTAATTTATCTCCTTGGTTTCATTTTGGCATGATATCCGTACAGCGCTGTATTTTGGAAATACAGAAATATAAAAAATTGTATCCAAAGTCAGTTGAATGTTTTATGGAAGAAGCTATTATTCGTCGGGAACTTAGCGATAATTTTTGTCTCTATAACAAAAATTACGATGTTATTGAAGGCGCTAATGCATGGGCAATAGAAACGTTAAATAAACATCGGTAGCCATCTTTATTTACTTCATTATAAATCGTTATTATATTTCAGTATTGATATGTTTTATATATAGGAAAGATAAAAGGAAATATATCTATTCTTTACACGACTTGGAAAACTCTAAGACTCATGATGATTTATGGAATGCTTGTCAAAATCAATTGGTAAGGACAGGAAAAATGCATGGATTTTTGCGAATGTATTGGGCAAAGAAAATATTAGAATGGACCAAATCACCAGAAGATGCTTTAGAATGGGCTAATCATTTAAATAATAAATATAGTATAGATGGTTGTGACCCTAATGGCTATGTAGGTGAGTAAATATGGTCACATCATATTTATGGTATTATTTCTTTAATTTAATATTGTAATCTGACTATGTATTTGTATTTAAAGGATGTGCATGGTCCATATGTGGCATTCATGATCATGGTTGGCCAGAGAGAGAGATATTTGGCAAAATAAGATATATGAATTATGAAGGATGCAAACGAAAATTCAGGGTTAAAGAATTTATTTCTCTGTGGGGGAAAAAAGAAAACTGATGCGAATGTATTCAAATAATTAAGAGACAATTCAGAGTCAAACATTCAGAAATGTATTTATACTTAGTAGAAGAATAGATTAGACAGTAGATGCGAGTTTGATTCTAAAATCTTATTGAAGTTGTTCGCTCTGTTCGAAGAGAGAAGAAATATCTTTATGCTATCAAGATATGTTAGTTACGTTTTTTTTAATAATTTGGCATCACTGGACAGCAATGAAAGTGAAGCAGGAACTGCGTCTAACGATGTCAACGAAAGCGCAGCAGCCTTTAAAGTAAAAGAAAGACAATCGGTCTCGATCATATTTTTATGAATTCCATAAATCATTCCTGCCGTAAGACAATCGCCACAGCCGCTTACGCTGAATTTTTCATTTGAATCTTCGACAGTATACGATAATGGCGGATACAAACGTGAAGTAATTGCAGTATTCGCTACCAGTTTACCTTCTTTATCGTAAAACGGATCATTTCCCAAAGCTTTACGAACGACCTGCAACAAACGAAATTACACGTTAGACGAGCTGTTAGAAACTGTAGATTAAGTTTCTTGCATTCAATGATTTACCAATACTCCTTGCGATCCCAATGTACTTATAACTACTGGAACAATTTCAGCTACGTGTTCCGCTATTGCCTTTACTTCTTCTAAATCCATAGACGACTTTCCTTTGGGCACTGATATCCCCAGGCATTTTGCAATTGCTTTTAATTCATTTCTGTTTGGTGATATGACGTGAAGAACATTTTGCCACTGTGATTCTGTTTCAAATATTTTTGTTGCTTTCTTCACGTCTGTAGGCTCGTACCAAACTGCAAAAAATGTTTTTATAGCGTAAAGTAATGTATATAATTGTAAACGAAATTTGTAACAAATATGTAACACAAAACGTTTTAAATAAACCGTTCAAAAAATTCGTTACGATTTCTACCACACGGTGCGCTGGGGAAAACAGTAAACATCTTTCATTAGAACGGCTCTCTGTAGGCACTCTGTTTTATGGAGAAAATGTATAGGATATTACTGTGTATGCATACACACTTGAGCACATCTCTGCATAACCACACGATACAGTTGTCAGAAGTAAAAAATCTTTGCCGTCTGTTAATAAACAAAGTAACAAAATTCATTGTTGTATTAAGAAACGAATGGTATAATGGGCAAATCTCGTAATGAAAAAGCTGCTGCGATATGCACAGCAGTAGCATTTGTTTCAATAGTGATTGCATTTACCACACCCAATTGGCTTGAAACTGACGGCAAATTGGAAAATCCAAAGTTTATTAAAATTGGTAATTTAATTTTTACCATTCTTGTCATAAGCTATCGAAAATGTATTTATCTGATTATAATTTATTATCTTTTTTACTTAGGTTTATGGCAAGTATGTTTCCAAGGATTTGAACATCCCCATCATTTGTACGACACAAAATTTTATGGCTGTTGGTGGGTGTTTGAAGAAGAGTACTATATAATTCATGATATTCTTCTACCACCCTTTTTTGTGGCAACACAGTTTTTCTTCACGTTGTGTCTAACTTTATTATTGATAGGAAGTTTTCTAACAACATTGTATGCATGTTGTTCACGTCATCACCACAAATATCAGTTGCTATTATGGACAATTGGTGGGAATTTATTGTTCGGTGGAATATGCGGTATCATATCTGTTATTATATTTGGTGCTCGCGGGGATGGGAGAGATTGGATGCCCAACTGGGAACATAACGAGATCAGTTGGTCTTATGCATTTGCTGTGATTGGCAGTTTTATCTTAGTTCTTGCTGGTATCCTATTCTTAATCGAGGGGCGTAGACACAGGAAGAAACAAGAGAGAATTCTGGATGAAGAACAGAAGACACATACAACCATCTAATTGCAGTCTTCGCGGAATAAAAACATGAATCTCTCCTAAATTATTTAAAGCAATGGAGAAAAACACAACTCCGTTGTTTTCAGACACAGTTTATGTGATATCATTTCTAGTAAGCTCAGTGCAAATTTTATAGAGACTATTATATATTTTTACATTCATACTCATTATGTTGATAAGTATTATGTCCACTGCATGCAAATGTCCATGTTGCCTTATGTAGTATGCAGTAATTATATCAATATTAGGTCAGTCCGAAGTTGAAAAAGATATTTTGTATATTCTTATAACTTTTAACACAAGTAAATTATGCATTTATTACTTGCTTTTGTAGAATAACGCTACAAATCCGTCCATAGAAATAAGGAATCTTATGCAAAGAGAGTAAGAGTCTGTAAATAGTAATAATATTAAACATATAATTGAAACCATAGTATGGTCTAAATCCAAATAAATATTGTATATTTGTTGTAACCTTTTATATCAGAAAAGTGTATAAGAAGTTGAAACAATAAAATAATTTGTTTTAAATTTTCTATTTCAACATCCTTTTCGTAGCGTGATACGATCCCACCGTAATTTTGAAATCGATAGCATTTCTCGAGAAAAATAATTAAGCAAGGGATAGAATACGGTCAAGCTGTGACCTATTTTACTATCGGGGAAATAATTCAACGTGAGTTACGACTAAGATTGCGTGCACGAAGATCGACGTCAGGTGTAAGTCGTTGACCCAGTTTAGCTCCTATTTTAATCGTTCACCCGGTAAACATTTTTTTTCACACCTATTGACAGTTATCAACTCTGTTAGTATGGTCAAGCGGAATTTACATAAAAATATTTTATCTTCCATATGTACCATGAGTCATGGGCCACATATTTCATACTTTATTGTATAAGTACGCGAATCTAAGAAGTTTCAAGGACTTCTCAACATAGAGAAATAATACTCTGGTTATAAGTGGTGGTTGTTATAAAGCGAAATAATATGTGTATTACATACTACTGCATACTGTATGTGTGTAATGTAAGTCGCGAGTTTTTAAATTTTTAAGTACTATCATCGTTATCCTTGGGTAAAATACTAGACAACATAGGAACACGTTTTAGTGTTATTTACTTGATTGTACAACCGAACTGAAGCGTCTTTTTCAGTCTAAACGAAGATAGACATTTCTTTAGAATAGATTCGAAAGGGATACTTGGAGAAAAAAGATTGCAATAAGTATAAATAAATAAATACCATCGAAAAGATTGCATACATACGTACATACAAAACGCAAATAGAAAACTAAAAGTAAATCATAGTTTTATCGTTATATATGTGTACTTTTTATTTCTCTAATAACACGCGGGAAAATGAAGCGTCACCTACTTATGAACGAAGTCATACGAATTGTATCTGAATGAATCACGAGCAGAACAGCAGTAAAAGTGACGCGCATTCCAAGAAACTTGAATATAGTTCTAGTGATGGGTATAGGTCAACTAGCGATTCTCTAAAAAGAAAAACATTTTTATGTGGAGCACTGAAAATACTTTTATATAAATGAAACGTCGATAATTTAATGAAAGTTTAAGCGAATGTTCTTATTGTACACGGGACAGCGTTTTCCATTTTGGGTTAACGTTTTGCCATTAAAAATGAGTCGAGCCTTTCAAATTCAAAATTCGAAAACTATACAAGATTACATCCCAGCTTAATTAAATACATAAGCACCAATTAAATACACTATGCACCAGTAAATACTACCTTGTATTGCTGTGGCTACATTAAGTAATTAGTTGACTGTAAATATATTGTTTTTGTTATGTATTTATCATTCGTATGAAAGACTAAACGCAATACATATTGTTTAAAAATATGTACATGTAGGTACAACGTACATTCTTGATAGATTGAGAACCGTTTGTTGGTAGTTTGTGGTGCTCGTGGGATACCAACGGTTTTACAAGGTTAGGTTAGATGCTATGCTACACGGCCACCACACAGCATAACGTGTTTGGGTGTGGTTAATACCGTGGGATCTTTACTGGATCGGTGGATCCGAAGCGTTCGTTTGTCGTACGCTCTACGACTGTATTTCGCTTCGTGATCTCTACCGTTCGAAGAACGATTTTTCGCGATGAAGAAGAGAAGCTTCTCCGGCAATATCGGTGTCGGAGTATACATTGTTGCCTTCATCTGCGTTTGTGTCGCGTTTGGTACACCAGCATGGTTAGTGAGCGATTATCGGATTACTGGTGCGAAACTCGACAAATTGGGTCTTTGGACCCATTGTTTTCGATCTCTGCCGAATCCCCAGGAAATGGACGCACCTAGGCGCTTCTTCGTCGGTTGTCGATGGGTCTATGATCCTTTCACTGCAGGATACTCTGAAATTCTTGGCTTCTTACTGCCGCGTAAGTTTCCTTTTAATTTTATCTCGTCGTTATCATTTTTCTGAACTTATATGATGTTTATTTTGGTTACAGCATTCATGATAGCAACACAGTTTTTCTTTACTGTGTGCTTCCTGTTGAGTTTGATATCATTGGTGTTGATATTATTGTTTACCTTGTGTTGCGATCCTGAGCAAAAAAGATATGTACAACTTATTTTTGTCATTGGATATCTATTGCTGGTTGGTGGTATAAGCGGCGGACTAGCTGTGATTATATTCGCCTGTCTTGGAAACACAGATGGTTGGATGCCTGGGCATGCTAACAATTTCTTTGGCTGGTCCTTCATAATGGCAGCTGTGGGTAGTGTACTGACTATAATAGCAGGTGTGCTTTTCCTTGTTGAAGCAACAGTACAGCGTAAGAAGAGGGAATACTTGAAAGAATCTCAAACAAGATTTGAGCTGAACTCTCGTACATGAGTAAGGAATATTTCTTGTAAAAGACTTGCACAACACTTTAGTACCAAAATATTGTAATATTTCTCCGTCCATACGAGCATGTTTCTGGTAATAGAATTATATAGAAGTTAAGGTAGAATTGCTGCTACTATAAGTACAAAGTATGATATGACATAAGATTTGTATTTTTGTATGATGTTTTATACATACAGGATATGTAGAAGCGTATTTTACAAAGAAGTATACTCGTTTTGTTAATGTTTTTTTCTTGTTGTACATTAACATTTCCAAAAGTTAATAGTGCAGTGAAAAAAAGTGAAGAGTGCTTTTCTTTGTACACCAAATGCTTTAAAAGAATGAGAATAGTCTCGATTATAATTGATAGAAAGTATTCTATTTTTTTCTCATTTTTTATAGATAGCATAAGTTGTTGAATTCTGCAGTATTTTATAAAGTAAACGTTCACTGCCATCGGTGAATTTATATGTAATAAATTTGCAACGAGATCCGTCCTTAGGTACAGAATTATAATAACGTTGTTATTTCCATGTAATCGAAATGGAGCAATTCAAAATTTTTTTGTATCATATTTTTACTTCAATAAATTACTTGATAATTACATGTACAGACATACTTCTGTTTTACATTTTACTGTCCTCGACCGTGTATTCCGATCCGATTTTGAATTCGAAGGAAAACTATTCCAAAGCCGCTATATTATGAGATTGTACTGGTACCGTACATAGAAACGTACAGGCAGCCGCTTTACCGACGTCAATTAACTTTTACAGTTGGTAACAATGGCAATGCCGAGAGGTGTGGCAAGTTTAGAAGGGCCTTAGTGTTTTCGCAATTATAAACAAACAGTTTTAGTAGTTCTTATATTTTCTGTCATCGAACTCGAAGAATCGACAATGTCTGTCGACAAACAGGAATATCACCGCGCATCGAGTAAGCAATATTAAATAAATTCATAGTCATTTTGCTTAAAAAAGAAACATCCCTAACCTCTATCAACTGTTGATTATGTTATTTCAGATGCGGTAGTATTTGGTGGACTAGTCACGTATATCGCTGGTCTATTGTTGGTAATGGCATTTACAAGGTAATCGTTTTTTTAAATAGACATGATTTATGTATCAAGTATCTTGCGTAATTAGCGTCTACTTAACCAACTTGCTTCCAGTCCTTATTGGATCGAATCCTATCAAGAAACATTTAGTAGTTTCAAGCATATGGGATTGTGGGAATATTGTTTCAAAGAATTTCGATATCCATACTATCAATTTGACAAACAGTTTGACGGATGCCACCACATATTCTCACAGGAATATTATGTAATTCGTGAGTGGCTACTACCAGGGTGGCTATTGGTAGTGCAAACGCTCGTTACTATTGCCCTGTTACTTTCGTTCGCGGCACAGGCTATGATTGCGTTAACGTTAGTGCGTTGGCCGTTGAAATTTGTACTGAATAACGAATGGCTTCTCTCCTCTGCTGCCTTCTTGTGCTGTGGAGGAGCAGGTAAATATCATATCTTGGATGAAACCTAATGTTTAGCTTGTTAGAAATACGAAGCTAACGTATCCTTGAATCTTACTTTACAGGCACTCTATTGTTCTTAGCGGTATCAATATTCGGAGGACAATGCTGGCGCAGGGATTGGTTAATGTACCCGAATTTTAACCACTTGTCTTGGTCGTACGCGTTAGCGGTCATTTCGTTCATGTTTCATTTGTTGGCTGCATTGTTCTTATACTTGGATGCAAAAGCTGGTTACAGGCTGCGTAAAGAATCTCGTAATTTGGTGATGCAGATGCAGCCTAATCCACAGTCGCACCAAGGATTGCAAAGAAGCGGATATATATAATCGAATCTCCCAATCGTAGGGTCCTAATCATAAAGTACGCGGGTTCTGCACAGCTTAAGCGAACGAGAATTCCACGTTTGCTTTCGGAGTTAATTTTTTTACATGACATTGGCGTGCAATCGAGGTTACGCACGTGTATTTTACTATTTAAATCCGTCCATTTTTAAGAGATTTATGTAGCTAGATGAAGAAGATTGTTTATATATATATACTTATATATTATAATTTTGTATGTAAATGTAATTAGAGAAAAGAAAAATGTTTAGCGTAACAGTGTTACAGAGATAAACGAATTTCTATTTCTGCAAAGCCATTGCGGGTATCTCTGTAACCCGTTGATTATTCTGCAGAGTGATAATGTTTAAGCATTTGAAACATTTATAAATCTGTTGATATTAAAATCATAAACATCGAATTGTTTATAGATACGAGCAATTGTTGATACGAGCAAATGATCAACGAGAATAATATTCAAATAAGCAAATGAAAAAAAGATATTCTTATCACTGACCTGGAATTTTTGAGTGGGCGGCTAGATCCAGAATATATTTAATCGTGTTCAGGGGTAGATTACCGTCGAGAATGATGTAGCTAGCATTTTCCACGTGTGCCCGATGTTTTTTCACCATGTCGGGAGTGATGCTCGCAAAGATGTCCATTTCACCGATTCCGAAGTGGCACTCGCCCTTGCCGTCGACTATCACGGTACACCTTGAATTGGAAAATCGACTCCTTGTGGATAATTGGTTTTTTACAGTATTGCGCGCGTTAGCTTGTTCGGAAAGAAAGCATTGTACGCGAAGATCGTCCGGGGAACGGCAAGAGTATCGTTAAAGAAAATCGGTGGCAACTTGTTGTAGTAACAAACGGTTATTCCGTTTTGCTCGGTACCATCCGCAACCAGAGCTTAATAGCCAATAGCCGTTAACGCTAATAATGAGTTTTTATTGTCGCCAAGCTTAGTATCGCGTAAGAGTTTTTTCTTTGGTAGCTTAAGTCACAGATGAACCTTGAATCCCCAGAGAAGAACCCCGACTGCCCTCTTTTTAATCTCTAATGGTTTATTCGCGGTTCTTCGTGGGGTTTTATCGTCGATGCTACTCAAGGGTAGCAAGAGTAGATATAACCCGTGTCCTTTGTGAAACAGAGTTGGAAGCAGGGATCTCAAGCTCGCGTACGACGACGATTAACGCGGATTTCGAGTCTGAAAAATTAGTGAATATTCTTCAGACGTTCTAAAGTAGAGGTGAACAGCGTTTTTCTTAAAAATATCATTGTTATGTAGTAAAAAAAATCCGGGAAGTTCACGCTTCGTGACTTGTTCAATAATTCGAACGCGGCTCGAGTCCGTCCCGATCTTCTGTCAAAGCCTCGTGCTGCGGACTCTCTCGCGGACTCTCGCGGACTCTCTCTCTCTCTCTCTCTCTCTCGCAGCGTCACCTCTGATTGGCCAGTGTTTTTCGTTAATAACTCGTAAACAAAGCCGCAGATTGCATTTTCGCAAAGGAAAAAGTTACTTCAAATGACCTCAGCTACCCCTCATTTTCGGCTGTTAAAATAATTGTGGAACACCCTGTATACATTGGCCGAAAACCAACGCGTCGGTGTAAACGTAAACGCGTCGTGAACGAAACATTTGCTACAAGAGAAGGTGCGCATACTTAGCCGTAGTCATGTTCGACAGTTGCTCGATGGTTCTGCCCCCGTCGCCCAGACTTTTAATTATAGCTTTCCCAGGCTGATCGTTGCCAACGACGGATATTAACCGGGTGGCGTCCAGACCAAGGTAGATCAAGGCGTTGGCGATATTTCGACCGACCCCGCCGCAACTTTCATGGCTTCCACCGGCATGCGTTCTACCGTCGCTCTGGAAAAAAAAAGAAAATACGTCGATTATTGATCCGGGATATGGAAAAGATGCGCTGCTTTAATCGCGCGCGCGAACAACACCGACGTCTTTCCGATCGATCGATCGCCGTTGTCGTCGACGACCGTTCACGCGAAATGCTGAGCGATTATCGATCGACAACTTCATTCGAATGTCTCTCTCTCTCTCCCTCTCTCTCTCTCTCTCGCGAGAAAGGAAAGATATCTTTAGGATTTTTCCTCGCGGTTCGACATGCAGATCGTGAACGAGAAACTTTTTAAATTGCGCGCGAGAGACTGCCAGTTATTTTTAAGATAATAATCGATCCGTCTTCCACCCCCTCTCTCTCTCTCTCTCTCTTTGCCACTAGGTTTTCTTTTTTACACCAATGGCGGTATACAGTTGTATCGATACCAGTTATTTCCGTTGTATAACGCCGTCTATTTAAACCCTAAGGTTTTCGATTATTTTAGACCGTGGAGAGGAATTATAAAATCGTGGCTGTGGTCGTTCCCGACTACATATGTATATCCGTAACACGTGCCGACTCGAGGACATCACGTTCGTAGGATTAATTTCCCACCCCGGACCACCCCCCGTTTCAGCCGTCCGCCCCTTCCGTCCTCCTGCGGCCCCGGTACGCCCCCGTTCATCCGTTGTTCAACGCCGAGAATAAGTATACGGGAAAAGTGTGAATTTTTCAAGCGGCGAGTTGTTCTGCCGCACTTTCACGCCCTCGCATCTCGCTCGGTTCCAACGGCAACGATTCAATTACGGAGACAAGCATTTCTCCGAAGGTGCTCGCACAGTAATTGAGCAGAAGGCTGGCACTCGGCTCGTGGGAGGAGAGCGACCCCTTTATCGCGCAAGCTCCCTTTCTTCCCTTCCGCGTTTCTCGCTTTTCCATTTTCCTTCTCAAGCTACTTTCTCTACGGCCGATCTTACGCCGTATCTCTTCTCCATAATTATTCTCGTTGCCCTGTTCGCGCCTCCCCGCGTCCGCGACGGTGCTTTACCTACCGGCACGTTCGACCATCCTCGCACCCTCTTCGAACGCCTCTGCGATTTGAAACAGTTTGCGCGTTTGCTTCCCTCTCGGACAAAGCACTTTCGTTTGTTCTCTCGGGCAATGATCTTATCTCGCCGACGCAGAGCGCGACGCTTCCTAAAACCGAGCCCCGGGAACCTCGAGTTTCGTGGCTTTTCCGAAAGGTGAGTTCCATCCCCTCTCGAATCTCTCGACCGCGCGCGCCTTCCACGAGCTTCGCCGTCGCTAACCGCCATGAACAAAGCTTCCTCGCTCGTTCTACTCCATCGCGTACAACTTTCTCTTTCCGTATTCTGCTCGATACTCTCTTCCTTCTCACGATACGATTCCTCCATCCCCGTCCGCGCGTCGCCTTCGACCCTGCTCGAGCCTCTAGGCACGTTTCGTCTCTCTTCGGAGCAACTTGTCTCTCTCTCTCCCCCTTTCCCATCCCGATCCAACAAGCTTCCGTAATTCGCTGCGTCCATCCTCCCGGCCGTCCTCTCGCCCAACCCCGCCCCCGCTCCCGACACGCTCTCCCGCTCGCTTCCTCTTTCGATCTGCTGGCCGAGCTCTCTCCTTTCCCCCCTTTCTGCTCGCACTCTCGGATCTCCCGAGTTGTTTCCTCCCTTGCTCCCCCACTCCCTCGTCGGTGGGTCTCTTTCGCGCGCGAACCACCCCGGACTTGGAAGCGTCCCCTGGTTCGCGAGCTTCCGCCACGTTGTTCAGTCGTCTCCGTCTCGCGTTCATCCCTTCCAGCCGCGATCTTCTTGCGAGTAGTGCTCGTTCTCCCCCCACCTCTCTCTCTCTCTCGCGCGCGCGGATAGAGTGTTCCAACCTCTGCGCTCCAACCCCCAATCCCCGCGGGTCGAAGCTCGCTCTCCGTCTCTCTCCCTCTCTCTTGCTCTCGCCCCGTCTTTATCCGGAGTGTTGGTGGTGCGCGACGGTGCCCGGTGGTCGCGCTGTCTGTCGCCGACACTGTGCAAGCGCGCGACTCAGTCCGGTTGCCTACCTCGGGCGCTGTTGACAGCCAGACCGCGCGCGCGCGCGCCCCACGCCAACCCCTTTTTCCCCGTTTTCCCGATGCCAGCCGCGTTACCACACGGTTCTTCTCCACAGTGCTAGCGCGAGAGAGGCTCGGGGCAAGAGAGAGCGCCATCCGAACGCGAAGCAGTCGGCTGATCGGGTAGCGCGCGTAACCAACCGGCCGTCGAGCATCGGCGGCGAGTATCGGTTGACGAGGGTGGTGGTGCGTGCTGCCTGTCGGCAGCGTAGGAGAATCGCTTCGGGTCGGGATCGTGCCGCTGTGCGTGGTGTTTCTCCGTTTCGCGGTGTTACGGGTGTTGTCGCGGCCAGCCGAGAGACCGGAGCCCCGCCAAGGCCGCTCCTCCTCGAGCGCAATCATGACGAACGAGCGTGGAACGATCGAGCCCGCGAGATCATGCTGGTGAACGGGCCTGCCGCGCGAACCCGGGCTAAACGGCGAAGAAAACAAACGAGCTGGCATGAACGGCCAGGAGAACAGTCCTCCCGACGACGCTCGCGGCAATGGACATAGACGGGACCTGGCCACCACCACCGCCGCCGCCGCCACGATCGCGATCCTGCCTCTAGGATCGTTCGAGATCCTACGATCCTCCGGACTATTAGCTGCGCTGGTTCCCGCTCCCGACACTTGTGCTCCCCGTGATAATGTGCGTGCCCGATTGACGGTGTGCCGAGATCTCGGAAGAGTCCGCGTCGCCTGAAAGGTTAGTACAGCCGAGCCACCGGACGTGTCCTCGACGCACCATCGACGCGTCCCCATCGAGGTCCCAAACGAGGTCCCATCGAGAGACGGCCTCGTCTCGGATGCCATGGGACGATTGTGTGTGTGCGTGCGTGTGTGTGTCACGTGCGCGAAGACCAGCCACATCGACGACACGCTGTTTATTGAAATATTATTTTTCTTGTATCCGAGATGGTGGAAGGCTGACCAGGGAAGGGGAGAGATCATTCGCTAGATTTCTCTCTTTCTTGAGAGGGTAGTTGAGAGCGTGTTCGTTTTGATCGTCGTGCTCCCGATCGTTTCGATTCCTCCGGAGAGGCTGTGCGTCGCCGTGATCTCCGATCAGTTCGGACAGATTCAGGAAATGCCCGGTTCTCGCCGGAAAAGAAAGACGCGGTGGCGACAGACCTAATCGCGTCGAGACCCTAGGCTCCAGCCAGCAAATATCGGCTAGCCCCGAGGTCGAAGGCTGTCGAGGCGGGGCTGTGACAGTGCTGGTAAGCCAGCGAGCCACCAAGACGGTCGAATAAATTCACGGGATGAGAAACGGGGCTGAAGGAAAGCGACAATAAATTCGTTCGGGAAGGTCGGGAGGAGGATTGCATAACGTCCACCTCTCCCGCCGCCCTGTGCCACCCTCCCACCCTTCCACCCTCGTTCTCTCGCTCCCTCTCCCTCTCTCTATCTCTCCCTCTCTCTCTCTCTCTCTCTCATCCTCTCTTTCTCTCTCTTCCTCTTCCTCTCCGTTTCTCCGTCGCTCTATCGCTCCACGGTTCGTCTCCCGCTTCCCCTCCGCCGTCGGCCAGTATCGCTTGAAACGGTAACAAACATTCGCGCCGATAGCTAATTAAAAGCATTGGAGGAGCACCGCGAGTCGCAGTTCATTTTTTCCTGAAACCCTCGGTGAGAAAACCAACCATACGCGACGGGATCTTTTCGCGGTGCAATGGTTGTGCATGTAATGTAAAGAGTGCAATGTGTAATCTCGATTTCGCGTCTAAAATCGAGTCGAATCACCGAGAATCATTTCTGCACTTCGGCTCGCGTTGTTCACCCTCGTAACTTCTTGACTCGCGACGCGCGTTTATTCGCAGTGCTCTCCGTTGCTTTCCAGAATTTAGACAGCGAACACGCAATGCGTGTTACACGGGACGCGTGTCTCGCCGAGCCATTGATTTCCGATACGTATCTTTAATTCTCTCAATTCCGCGAGGTTGAATTGCGCGAATAGAAATTCGCCGTGGAACCGGCCTTTTTTTCGAAGCCCTTGGCACGCGTTTCATCGGCGATCTCTTTTCTTGTACCTCGCGACAAATCTTCCGTGAAGTCTCTCGATTTTTCGTTTTCTCGGGGACCTTCCTCGCGAGGGTGAATACGAGCCGTTTATTTTGAAAGTGGCATAAGTCGCTTCACCGTAATGAAAAGTGGTGATTTTTTAATGTATATACGAAATTATTTATACCGAGAAAAATATCAGTATCCTGAGACAACGAATACAAGTAAATCTTCTCGAAAGTTGGCATCCATATTTTTATAAACGTGTTAAAACGCGAACCCTTAAATATATCGACTTAAAAACAAAGTGACTTATGTCACTTTCAAAATAAACGGCTCGTATAAAGTAAATTCTCCCAAATTGTCCATCAGTTCGTAAACAAAAATTGACAATTTGGGAAGGGGAGATTATACGATTGTTCGAGCCTCGCAGCTCACTTTTATGGTCATTGTTGACAATTCGTAACTATAAAAACGGACCGCAAGACTCGCGTAATCGTATCTCCTTTTCCTAAATTGTCCATTATTTTTGTTCACAAGCTGAGAGGGACAATTTCGGAGAATTTACTGTAAATTCACAACGAACAATCGTGCACTGTCTTTTAGCTTTTCAGTGAAGAGGCCATCTTTCGAGAGTTCTTCGCGAAACCACTATGCCAACGATTACTTATCGGCGCCTCGTTCGAACGGTAAAAAGTTGATTTCCTAAGGTTCTAATGGATCGGGATCCAGCCTATATTGCGGGACGTGTCGCCGGAGTTCTTCCGTGCTTCTCTTTCTCTCTCTCTCTCTCACTCTCTCTCTCGGCCTCTTCGCCTTTCTGTTTCTCCGTCTCTCTGTCTCCCAGAGCTTCTCCGTCTCNGAAAAGTGGTGATTTTTTAATGTATATACGAAATTATTTATACCGAGAAAAATATCAGTATCCTGAGA